CTGATGATAGCAACGCGCTGTTTGTAGATTTTGTTGTCGTCACTACACATGTAAATATAGTAACTTTTTTTTTCTTCAGTGGTATGCTTTAACTTTGTCAGTAGCACGATATGGTTCAGTTTTCAGCAAAGTCAAAATGAAAGACGATGCTCCCGCGTTGCATGCAGCTGCTTTTCATCGTAGATCGCTTTATCTTGCGTTTGTCGGATATGGTTGTGAAATATCCAAGTTTAAACCGTTACTTGAACGACTTTTAGGAAAGTCTCAGAATCCAATGTCTTTTTTTTTTACAAGGACTTTTATGTTGTAAGCACAATCTCTTCATCCTCTGGGATATGAAGTTTTTCGAGTGTAAGAGGCTGACTGGCCTTTAGGGCAGTGATCACAGCCTCCTTAAAGACACAGACTGGTTAGTGGGTCGCACGGAAATGTTGAGTTCATTTCACCAGTGTTAAATGTTAAGCCTGTAACGTTCTCTACAGCGGCAATCCAAAGGTAATAATTGGCGCAGCCCACACAAACGCGCACTTCCTGGTGTGGAATATATTTGACCCATCTAGGGCGCAAGAAATAAAGTTTCGTTAGCCCAACGCCGGAATCAGGATGCTTGTCTTTGTGTTACATGAAAGGCCTCTCGGATTGAGCGTGTCAGGAAGCGCTTTGGCACGAACATTTTCTCCCCGTCGAGCATGAAACATCGATCACGTCCTTCTGGTTGGGACTTTGGCGCGAACATTGTAGCTCGTCTTTCGTGAAGTACTCTAGGGCAGCAGACAGGTTCTTAGGGCTCACCTTGCACTCGTGTAAGGATCCGGCTCATACCACGCGCCATGCTTTTTCTTACCTAAAACGTAAACACTGTCACCATGTTAACCTTTCCTAGGTTAACATGACGACAGTGTTTACGCTCTATTGTATTTTGGTGGGGCCCGAGTATTTAAGGGTGCTGCTCACTGTCGGTGTGCCTCTTTGTGCCCGATGTTATCGCCCGTGACGCCAGCGAGTGGGATGGCGACCGGCACGACTGCTTTGTAAACAAGCATCGGCGGCCATATTTTGCTGGTTGAAGCGTACCCCCCCATCCTTGACAGCGAGCGGGGAAATGCGAAAAAAGATTGTATCGGCCGTTTTGCCAGAACTAGCGACGAGTGTCGCCGGCTACTTCCGTCAACTATTGCGCCATAATTGTGCTCATCGCGAGGAAATCATTGTTGCTAGCCACAGAACACTATCACGCAGAAAGGGAATGCTTGAATATGTTTTTATTCTAGATATAAGTCAGGGATGTATATAAGAAAGAGAGAGAGATGGAGATAGATTGTAAGAGAAAGGAGCATATACACTTTAAAAAAAGCCCGTGCGTCAACTTTCCCGCACAACACTCACAGAGCCAATCACCGCAACTTACGGAGGCGGCTCAGCGAATGACGATGCCGAAACATATGTTTAGACCAAAAAGCGCAGTCTGAGTTGTGACATTAAGCAATGCAAGCACGACGTTTTGCACTGCTTAATGCCACAACTCAGACTGCGTTTTAGAGCGCAGCTCTTAGGGGCCCGTTTCCGGCTTGAGCGGCGTCGGCGTCGCCGTCGGCGTCGGCGTAACCGCGCGGTGCATCATGGGAAATGTCCCATAATGCACCGCGCGAGCCCCCCACCGGGGTCACGTGACCTCGTGGGGGGGCACGTGACCCCCCCCGAGGTCACGTGACCCCGGTGCATCATGGGAAATGTCCCATAATGCACCGCGCGAGCCCCCCACCGGGGTCACGTGACCTCGTGGGGGGCACGTGACCCCCCCCCCCCCGAGGTCACGTGACCCCCCGAAGTCACGTGACTCCCCTGAGGTCACGTGACGCCCGCCGATGTCGCGTGACCCCCCAATGACGTCATCGTCACTGATGACGTCACCGGCATCCACATCGTCATCGTCATCATCACTGATGACGTCACCGGCATCCACATCGTCATCGTCATCATCACTGATGACGTCACCGGCATCCACATCGTCATCGTCATCATCACTGATGACGTCACCGGCATCCGCATCGTCATCGTCATCATCACTGATGACGTTACCGACATCCGCATCGTCATCATCACTGATGACGTCATCAGTGACGTCACTGATGTCGTCACCGGCATCCACATCGTCATCGTCACTGATGACGTCACCGGCATCCGCATCGTCATCGTCATCATCACTGATGACGTCACCGGCATCCGCATCGTCATCGTCATCATCACTGATGACGTTACCGACATCCGCATCGTCATCATCACTGATGACGTCATCAGCGACGTCACTGATCACGTCACCGACATTCGCATCGTCATCGTCATCATCACTGGTGAAGTCATCAGTGACGTCACTAACGACGTCATCGGTACCCGCATCGTCATCGTCACTGATGACGTCATCAGTGACGTCAGTGATGACATCATCGGCATTGGGGGTCACGTGACCCCCCAAGGTCACGTGACCCCCCCTGGTTAGTTTAACCCCCCCCCAGTGCCCTTCCCTCCTCCTCCTCAAGAGCTGCGCTCTAATTCGGCGTTACAGGGAGTTGTAAGCAGCTTTCACTTTTTTTTGTCTAAACATATAGGTTTCGGCATCGTCATTCGCTGAGCTGCCTCCGTAAGTTGCGGTGATTGGCTCTCCGAGTGTTGTGCGGGAAAGTACACGCACGGGCGTTTTTTAGTGTGCAGTAGTTTCTCCTCAATTTTAGTGTGCGAACGATTTCTATAGTTATCTATGGCCTCATCTAAATAAAAATCTATAAAAGATGTGTGTCAATTTCATGAAACTGGAACTCAGAGTCACTTCTTGTATAGGGCACTGCTAAGTGTAGGTTTTGAAAAAGGACCCTCTTTGGGGAGTTGTTTCTTCTTTCTCAAGAAAATAATGCAACATGTTTTTAATAGAAATGAATGCCGAAATAGAGTGTAACAAGGTACCCAAAGTAAAAAAAAATAATCGAAGGTGGTGTTTTGTTTCTATTTGCGTCAGAAATTTTGTTGTTTGATTTTTTTCCCATGTTTGCCTAAATATCATCGTCATCAGCAACATCATCGTCATCACAACCACCTCCATCATCACTTGTATCATAATTCTAACGCTTCTTAAGCTGGGTAGTACTATAACTCCCAACGCACACGGCGGCAGGCCGGCAAACGCACACGCGTAAGGGTTTTTGCCTATCTGCTTTGCCTGGCACGCCGCCGTGTGCGCACCAATTTAAGTGCAAATAAATCACTTACTCACTTATATATCCCAACTATCGTATCACTTAGATACGTTGTTTATTTTTAAGTAATAGCCACATATGAGTAGAATACTATCTGCAAATTATATAATAATGATTAAATTATTTCATGAGATAGAGGCCTCCAAATTTTGGCATTTGTCGTTCGAGCAGGCATGTTTGGCAATTTTTAGAAAAATAAATATAATTTAAATAAATATTATTACTTTATATTACAAGCACGCTGTACCAATAGTAGCCGTCTAAAAAATTATTAAAATTCTCCCAATGTTATCGTTTTAGTTACTCACTCCGAAACGTGCCCCCTCCATCAGTGCGCGTTAACGCAACTGTCCACCTCTTCATGCCTTACGATTTTTTTGTCCCCAAATATTTTTTTGTCGGTCAAAACTAAGTTTGGATTTGTTTATACCAGACACTGGACAATAACATATAAGCACATGAGTTGATTTAAAAATGTCGACCAGCCACCCTTTGGTCGATCTTACCTGAAATCAACCCTGCTATACGTTGCCAAGGCTAGCCTATTCTGGCATTGCTGCAGACCGGAACTGCCGGAAGTGCGTCTCATTCGCGTGCGCAAGTGAGTTGGACAGTGATGCGGAAACATAACGCTGACCTTGACAACGTATCGACAAAAATGTTGACGCTGGGTATAGGGTCTTCTCGTAGATAGTTGAGAGTTTGAGCAAACCGTAAGCTGCGGAGGGCGGGCCCAGCGTGCCCGTGCTCAATTCATGCTTCGAAGTGGCGGCACGAGCTTCCGCTAGCAAAGCGAAGTTCTAGCGTACGGTCACCTAAAAGTCACTAGTTTCTGCAACTCCCCTAGTTCCTTATAGTGGAGTGCAATTGCGGGAACTATATCTACGAAATGTCTACTGTTTGGCTACCCGTAGAAAAGCAGAGTACGAGGAGTCGTTTTTTTTTTTTTTTTTTTTTGTGTAAGTTTCAAGACAGAACAGGTTGCATAGCTCAAGAAAAGGCCTTTCTATGCCTTTCATGATGTCGACGTGCCCATTAGTTGTGCAGTTTTGTGTGTATTTATCTGTTTTCTTTTTAACATAGTACCACAGGTAAACGTGAACCTATTCTGTACGTGAACATGACCTTAAAAATCTTGTTGGTAACGAATGTATTACGTTTCAACATTGCAAAGTGGCATGCACCAATTACGCGTGTTCCTCGACGTGCACTGCCCCCCGAAGCAAGATTTAAATAAGATACTCGGCGAACATTCGACAAAACTACTCTCAAAAATTAAAAAAAAATAAAAAAAAAAAAAAATTGCAATTTAGTTATTAGCAGTGCGGTTTGTTCACAAAAATTATGCTTTTCTTTTCTTCGCCTGCTGTGATGTAATTGAAGGTTTTTAGTATTTATAAACTCAGGCAAGTGATCGGTACACTCGTGAGAAACCTGGAACTTGTACTTTCCCGCAGAGCACTCTTGGGACGAGGCTGAAAGCCTGTTGAGGCCTAAGCGCAAACAGTAGCTGCGCTGTGATACTGAGCATGACCATCACCATTCTCAGTGTTACAGCGCAGAGTGTTGGATTTATAGAGACTTTGAGCCTCGTCATTTAGCCGAGCTCCTTCCTCCGTACATTTGACTCTCCCAAGAGTGCTCTGCGGGAAAATACAAGTTCCAGGTTTCTTACGAGTGGATAGCTCTACAGAGTAGTCAAGTAGATTTAATGCAAATTTTGATCTTCTGTTTTTTATTTCTTTAATTTAGGAACACGTCTGCAAACACGGATGGTGCTGAAGATTTCTAGTCTGAACCGCTTACGAGGGTGTCAAGAACCATGAAGTCCTTTCGGTGGTGTCCTTCGTCGAAGGAGCAGCTGCACGAAGCCGAAGAGAAGATTTTCTCGTGTCAGTAGCATGGCCGGTTCATTCTTTTGGGTCTGCAGTTGTCACGAAAAACGTCTACCTTTTTGTCTATTTTGTTTTGTTTTGTTTGTTTGGTTGTGGGTGTGTGGAGGGAAAGGGGGGGGGGTGAAGGAAGCGTATCCTTTCCGAACTATTTGCTGTTGATTGTTCTCTCCGACCTTTCGGTCAGAATGTCTAAATTAAACGCCGCCACGGGTTCGAGGTTGTACTATCGAACTAACCATTATAGTTTGTGTATGTGTATGTGTGCAACATAGTTGCTTTATGGGATATAGTTGCGGCGTTTCGTTCACCTGCTCATGGATGCGTATCCTTCGGCTCGCGCCGGTGACTGCACTCTAAAAAAAGCCCGTGCGTCTAATCAGTGCCTCCTCTATAAGTTACACTATGCCTGTCAGCTTCTCTCCAAGAGGTGTCCGGGCCCGATGCTTCACCTCACAACACGCACGTACGGCTAGGTAGCGCCGCCTGGCGGACGTTTGTTTTTTCTATTTTTCTAGCATGTTGTATTTACATCATTATTGCAGATATATCATATATATGTTTTTTTTAACAACATGTGGAACACTGTTCTGGATGTGACCGCCCTCATTCAAACGAATTTCGCTGAGACAAAATACGAAACTACGAAATGAGCACGGCCAGGCTTCGCTTTTGCAGCGCGAACGCGGAGAACGCTTGGCCGCTTCACCGTCTGCTTTGACGGCAGTTTGGGGCTTTGGCGGTCACTTTGAATCGCGCCCATAGAAATAGTTAGCGCCGAGTCGTGTGCGGGTGAAAAGGTAGAAAAATAAGAAGTAATATTCCGTTGAAAACGGCGAGCTGGTCTCGAGCTATCAGTCAAAAACCTTTAGATTTCTTGCTGTCGGTGCTGTTGGGGCGACATCATTAAACCTCCTACGGAAGAGATGGTTGGCTTCACTACACGGCAGGTTTGTACGCCTAGGTGGCTCCACCGCACGGCAACCACACGTACTATTTTCCCTCTCCCTTCCGCTTGCCAGTCCTCGGAGCTGAGAGGCATAGTGTAACTTATATAGGAGGCACTGGTCTAATTCCCCAACAACACTCGGAGAGCCAATCACCACAACTTACGGAGGCGGCTCAGCGAATGACAATGCCGAAACATATGTTTAAACAAAAAAAAAAAAAAAACGCAATTCGAGTTGTGACATTAGGCAATGCAAGCGTGACGTTTTGCATTGCTTGATGTCACAGCTCAGTCTGCGCTTTTTGATCTAAACATATGTTTCGCTATCGTCATTCGCTGAGCCGCCTCCGTAAGTTGCGGGGATTGGCTCTCCGAGTGTTGGGTGCGGAAAAGTAGACGCACGGGCTTTTTTTCTTTTTTTAGAGTGTGTGCATCTTTGCGCTGCCAGTCCGGCTTGTACACTTTCAACTCTATAGATCTTTTGTTTGTTCATTCACAATAGAATAGAGTGGATGGGCGATGCCTGCTTACTGTACACCTGAACGTCGACTTGTCGTATCATGCGCTGGAAAACTACTGTTCGTGATGTTTCGGGAGCATCTACATTTAAAGCCACAGTTTTCTGCGCACTAAAAAAAAAAAAAAAAAAAAAAAAAGACGAATTTGGAAGCCGAGAGCCATCAAAAACATTCGCTGTGTAATGGATAACTGAAACCGAGATTGAGCGTTTGGCGTCTGAGAAACAGCGGCAATCCTCCCTACATTTCACATTTAAAATTGAAAGCGGGCTTTCTTTGCTTCCCACGTTTTATTACTGGCTCGCGTCATGAAGCGAAACCTTGACTTTGCTTCTGGGAGCTTGCTTTAAACCTCAAGCAATACATTTGCTCCTGCCCCCTAAAAAAAGGCTTTGAACCATTTTTTTTTAGATGAAGTCCAGTTTGATTGCCTAGCAATAGCCGGATTGTCATGACACTACCACAATGCATTCAGAGTGAAGCACGGAAAGCATAGCCGACGTTCTCTTTTACTTTACAGACATGAAGAAAAAACGCGAAAGTCGTTACGTCGACGTCGGACGATTTGGCGACAGTCCCTCAACGTGTCGGCTGTGGACCGTGACAGTGAAGCCCGACGAAGATTGCAACGCCAACGGGCAGACTCGGGTAAGCTAACCAGTCCCAGTGGTAACATTGCATCATTTTGTGGGGTCCCGCGGGATGTCTCATCTATCGTCTCGATTGGCTTTCTAGCACAACATGCTTTTCCGCGTCCCATTCGGAGTCCACTATTCATTGTTAAGCTCGGTCAGGCTCTTCCGCGAAATCCTAAATACAATAATAATGAGTGTAAGTATTAGAAGTCTAGGGTCCTTAGAAGATTATTTTATAAATGTTTTCGCAAGTTCTGCTAAGTGGTTATTAGTATAGTAGATCACGGTAAGGTGTTTGCCGGTGTCTCATCAGCTGTTATTGCGTGAAGTTAATAGTTTACATATTGATTTGAATGGTGTGGACTGGATAGCGACTGCTTGCGGGACGACAGCTGATTTTGTGAATGTAACACACAGCAGAGGTACCCCATGTAAACGGTACTGTTCCAGTTTTAATTAGAATGGCTTATTAGTTTCTCCGCAAATCGAATGTCATTGTTGAGTACATGTAGCAAGGTTCTCGAACACCTCATAATTCAGCACATCGTAACTTTCCTAGAATCTGAAAATTTCTTAGTAGATTACCAACACGGGTTCCGCCGAAGCTTTTCGACAGTGACACAGCTTTTTCAAAAGTGTGGTTCACACAAAAGTGTGAACCACACTTTTGGTTCAGTGACTGATAGCAATGGTCAAGTCGACACTGTCTTAGATTTTGCGAAGGCGTTTGACAGGGTTTCGCATAGAAAGTTACTGCATATATTGAAGCAAGTGTTCGGCAGCGATCGCCTACTGAGGTGGATAGACTCGTATCTTACGAATCGTAAACAGTTTGTGTGTGTATGCAATGCCGAATCAGTAGAGTTACCTGTTCTTTCTAGAGAGTGCCCCAGGGCTCGGTACTCGCACCGCTGCTCTTTTTGGTTTTTATCAATGACCTGCGAGTTGATAAGCATTCGATACAGTGCCGTTTTTTTTGCTGATGATTGTGTATTCTTTTGTGTATCTACCCAAAACTGCTATGAAGAGAGTATTCAATTGATTTTATTGTGGTGTCAAAAATGTCAGATGGATCTGAATGTCAAGAAATGTGTGCAAATGTCAGTTACACTGAAGAAGGTGCCTCTCTTTTTTTCTTATACTATTCTTTCAAATGCCTTAGAAGTAGTTAATGAGCACAAGTATCTGGATGTTACTGTCACGTCCAACTTAAGCTGGGCTATGCATATTGAGCAGATTATCACAAAATTGTCAAGCGTAAACTGTGGTCGCTACGTAGGAAAATGCGTAACTATACTTCTGCGACAAAGCTGACGGCCTATAAATCGCTGATACGTCCTTTGCTGGAATATGCTCATGGGCGTACCAACCCGGGGGGAGGGGGGGCAAGGGGGGCGCTTGCTTCCCCCCCCCCCAATACACACAGACCAGTTTTCAGAGTGGGGGGGGGGGGGGCAAGACATGCGTTTTGCCCCCCTGAAACAGCCGCCACTGGGCAGGGCAAACACTGTCCGGCGGCGCCCAAGGGCTACCAAGGGCACCGCCCCCCGGCCCTGCGGGGGGGGGGGGGGGGGGTCTGGTTTGCCCCCCCCCCCCCCCCCCCCCCCCCCCGCACACAAACACTCAAAAACAAGTTGGTGCGCCGCTGAATATGCTGACATCGTATGGTACGCTCACAATCGCTCATTGACCAATTGGAAGGCCCTCAAAGAAAATCTCTTGGATTTATTTGTAACTCAAATGGCAAAGATTCGCACGTGACACCTCCGGAGTTTCTATATTTTCATGTCGAAGGAAAGTAAAGCTTTTAAATTTTTTGCATAATATAACTCATAATAAAGCTGGTTCAAATTTTACGATTTTTTGCAGTATAACGTGAGTCGCGATAAAAGGCAGAAGCACGAGAATTTGCTCCTCGAGCTCCGTTGTAGAAGATATGTTTTTAAATACACCTTTTTTCCTCGTTCTGTTTGTGAGTAAAATGAGTTGCCCCTAAGTGTGACGGCGATTGCTTCTACCGCTTTATTTGGAAGTGAAGTTGAACGTTTTTCTGTCACCAATGACTAAGCTAATTGTTAATTGTTATTGTTGTGTTTCTTCGACTCATTGATCGTTTCAGATGTTGTCTTATGATGCCTTGGTTCTCCAAAGTTGGCTGGCAGTATTTTCATATCAATAAATACATAGACGGAAAATTCGCCATTTTTAGTGGGATAGAATGGAAACGCGCTCTCTACATTCTTCCCGTAGCCGCCTGTGTCTAGTTCAGTTCTGACACCACATCTCCATCCTGTCTGTCTCGCGCGCTCGTTTTCAAAATGACGGCAGAAGTTTCGGATTCGGTCGTTAATCGTCGCTAGGCTTCGCGGGCTCTGTGTTACGAAGAAATATTGGTCCCACATTCGTGTTCGAAAACTCGTGTGAAAGCGTCACTTATTTTTAGAAAACTCGCGTAAGTGCTGCGGTTATATTTGACAAAATCGTCATACATAGAATACGCATTTTTGGGTCGGTGCATCTCCGCGCAATCGTTTGTGTACCGGGACACATACGAGGACTTCCAACGAGAGCTCCATTGGTTGTCGCTAGGGTCACATCGTCGCTTACGCCAGCCAATGGGAGTGTGGCGCCACCCGCGAGGGAGTGCGGCGCTGACACTTTTTGTTGTCACCGCTTTGGTTTCGCTTTTTGCACTAAGTTACCCGCGCCAAAAACGTCTTCCACGCTAAAAAGAAATTAATAAATAAAAAAAAGTCTTGGCAATGTTTTTTGTATCTTTGACCTTGCGTCTGGCGTGCCTGGAAGCGGTGTCGTTCATTTACGACATTCACGTCGGAATGACATCTACGTCAAGGCTCTTTGCGGACGATCGCGCAAGTTACTTTTGTGTCGATAGGGAAGAGGCTTCAAGAAGATGCAACGTGAATTCGAAATTGATGTAGCGCAGGAGGATGAAATCTAATGTGAGAAAACACGTGCTTGCCATTTTTTGTGAGGATAATGACAGTTTAATACCGAATGTTTTTTGTTGTTTTTTTTATACAAAGAAAGCAACAGAAACGCAATAAAATAGCTTGATTTTTTTTTTCTCAAGTGTGTTCGAAAGTCACATTTTTTTATTTATTTTTTTTGCGCTTGGAGTGCGTTTTGGAATGCGAAAACAAGGTTCGTGTTTCTAAACCTGCTTTCGGTGCCTTAAAAGCTCTTCATGCAAAGAAGCGACTTCGTGGAGTCTGTTCTTCCGTTATAGAATCGGACACTCTTTCATTACTCACATGTAAACACATGTTCAGTGGGGAAAACCCGCAGTTCTGTGGTTAGTTGGGGCACGCTCAGTACTTCATGCATCTTGTCCTGCCCCATGAGCGGAAGCGTCGAATTCGTTTTCCCGAAGTGATCCCATTTCATCCGTCTGTTCTGCTGGAAGAGAATCTCATAGCCATGAACTTCATTATTTTTGCTACAATCGACCTTCTACACCAATTTTAGTGAGAAAAAAAAAATCTTTTAGCCTTCCTATTGTGGTGAAGAAAGAAGAGCAGCTGAGCTGTAGCTTCTGTTCTCGGCGGTGGCTTTCCAGGCGAGCGATCTGCTCTTCTTTCGCAGGGGAATCTGAAGCGCTCGACGGCAGTGGAACTTCAGGCGGTGGCGTCCTCGCGGCGGTTGCGAAACCATTCGCGCTGCTGCGCACATCGCCGCTCGTTCTGTTCCCGCTCTTCTTCCTCCGAAGAAATCTTGCCGCCATCTATGAGTGACGGCGGCAACCAGAGTGTTGTGCCGGCCTCGGGTGTCGACAATTGTTTGGTGCCGGACACGATCCTGGGGAAACTAGCCCTTAGCAAATCCGCTGTAAACAAAAAAAAAACAAACAAAAAAAAAACAAAACAAAACACACATTGCAAATGTGCGTGTTGTCCGTGTCGTTTCCCAGCTGCCCCTCGTGATGTTGCACGGTCTGGGCTGCGGCGCCGCTCTGTGGGTCATGAATCTGGAGTCCCTGTCTCGAGATCGTGTCGTGCACACTGTGGACCTGCTCGGGTTTGGACGCAGCTCGAGGCCTTCCCTGGGCCCGGACGCCGCGCTCATCGAGCAACAGATGGTATTCAGTGAGTGACGACTCCTCGGCTCTTTCGCCGTGCTGTCATCGTCGTGGCCGAAGGTTTACGCGAACCGTAGATGCGTTGCTTCGTTCGTCGATTTAGCTTCGAGAGTTCTCGGCAAATACGTTTAGTAAACAAATAAAAAAAAAAAAAAAATACCCCCCCCCAAAAAAAGAAAAAAAAAAAAAATACAGCCTACGAACGTGGCGATAAAATAAGTTCGAAACAGAAAACACCTCGAGAATCAAATTCGTTAATGATGCGAGCAATTGATTAAAGTCAAAATTGGGGGCAGTAAACTTAGCGTGGCTAGTGAGTGTAGAACGTTCCGTTCCGGCTTGTACAATGATAGGTGTCATGAATATTGACCTTCTCACTTCACAGTAGAGCACGCGTCCGTTCAAACTTTTGCTGCCTGGCAGCTGTAACCCGGTATGCGGAGAGCATGTCGTCTGCGTCTTGCACAGGGGTTGCGGCGACATCAGAACGACGCCGAGTTTTGATGGGCTTTGATTGGGAGAATAGTGGGCAGACAACTCAATGCTAGATGCCTCGAGGTCTACCCACTATTTGTTTTTTCAATCAGTCAATAAGATATTGGCGTTCTGACCTCATCGCAACCTCTGGGCAAGAAGCAGACGAACTTGCATTCCGCATAGAACTGTACTCTTGTCAGTTTACAGGGCTGACGCAGGAAGCTTGTGTGTTTTCCAGAAGCACAGTCTACGGGTCCCGACTTTAACAGTCAGACATTCCTCTTCATAATTTTTTTTTTGCGTGTGTGTTTGTTTGCAAGTTTTAATCTGAACACTGCAACCCATTTTTTCTTAAAGTGAGCCTACGGTTGATTAGGACTCTTACAACCGCTTACCGGCATGTATAGCCGTCGCAGCGGCGTTGGTAAAGGTGCTCAATTCACTGCGAAATGCTAGGAAATATCCGAGGTAAACTGGCTTCCAAATTCCATGCAAAAGTCGTTAACTCCCTCCCGGAGGTGAGAACTTTTAAGGGGCATTTAGAATCGTGTTTAGATTTAGAACCCCCTGTAGGAAGAACTAGAAACGCTCGAGAGACGAACTCGACGACCCAAGAGTGCGCGAGCGTATACCTCTGATCGCTGCTCAAAGTGCGCAAGTGCACGGGCACTCACAGCTTTTACTTACCGCATAGCCCCAGGATCACTTACCAATTATTATGTTTATACACAAAACTATGCCCCAGGCCACTGAGCTTGTTAACAAAGATAAGGAACCTACTAACATGACCCGAAGTATAAATCCCACTACACTAGAACAATTCCGATTAATTATTTCTAATACTAATTGGGACTCAGTATTCTCTGCAATAACTGCCAATGAAGCGTACAATGAATTTTTGAATATTTTCAAAAATATTTACGACAAGTGTTTTCCGTATAAACAAATAAAACAGTTAAAAAAAAAAACCGCAAGCCCTGGGTAAATAGAAAGTGCTGGAAAATGATTCAGAAAAAAAATAAACTCTATAATGTCTTCCTTAAAACAAAAGCACCTGAGGACCTTGCTCTTTTTAAACAATTTAGAAATACATTGAACAATAAGCTACGTCGGGCAAAACAAACCTACCTTAATAATTTATTCAACGAGTCATGCATGGATAGAACAGATGTGGTATGGAAACGGCTAAATGAAGTATTAAAACGGTGTCCCTCTAAACCAGCTATACACGTAATACAACGAGATGGGGTAACATTGCAAGGAAAAGCTCTCGCTGAAGCTTTCAATTGTTATTTAACTAACCTTGTTAGTAGCATACATATACCTTCATCAATGACGTATATGAAGCCTAGAAACGAACACAGCGCAGTTTTCTTTCCAACTGATCAAAATGAGATAACTTTAATTATGTCATCTCTTAAAAATAGCAACTCCTGTGATATAGACGATTTGCAGATAAAACCAATTAAGCACGTTTTGGACGTTCTATTACCTGTATTAACACACATTATGAACTTCTCATTGTCCAGTGGTATTTTTCCTGAAAAGATGCAAACTGCAAAAGTCATTGTTTTGTTTAAAGGAGGGAGCAAAAATGAATTTTCGAATTATAGGCCAATATCAATATTACCTGTGTTTTCGAAATGTCTTGAAAAGATTATTCACAATAGAGTGACGAGTTTCTGCACTAAATTTTCATTAATTTCTGACTCGCAGTACGGCTTTCGCAGAGGTCGATCAACGGAGTTCGCTTTGCTAGAGCAGAAGGAGTTAATTTTAAAGTCGTTTGAAGAAAAAAAGTTAACTTTAGGCGTCTTTATTGATATTTCAAAGGCGTTCGACCGTATTGACCATACTACCCTAATAAAAAAGCTCGAATGCTATGGAATTCGCGGTGTACCTTTAAACCTTTTACAATCGTACTTTAAATTTCGCCAGCAATATGTCGTAATAAATGGACAGAGTTCTTCTGTCCTACCCATTAGAGCTGGAGTACCACAAGGTAGCATTTTAGGTCCTTTGTTATTTAATCTATACATAAACGATATTGTTAATATCAGCAAAGCCCCATCCTTCATCATTTATGCCGATGATACCAGTCTATTTTTTTCAGGTACAGAGATAGAAGACCTTGTTAAAGAAACGAATGCCTCACTAGCGAAGCTGTATGATTGGAGTGAAGTTAACTCACTAATAATTAACACGACCAAAAGCAAGGCTGTCCTTTTCAAACCCAAGAATAGACATGTTTCTTTTTCTTTTAATATCATCTTGGGCCCCTCTGTCATAGAAATGGTGCCGAACGTCAAAACGCTCGGAGTGTATTTTAATGAACAGATGTCTTGGGATTATCACGTTAATAATGTTGTTAAAAAACTATCAAGAGTGCTTGGGAAATTATGTCAATTCAGAAATTTATTGCCTCGTCACATAAAAATGCTTATATACAGGGCCCTTTTTTTACCCCATCTGAACTACTGTAATTTAGTGTGGTGTACCACATCTCTGTCAAATGCTAACAAATTACACCTTCTTGAAAAAAAGGCTGTTCGCACAATACTCAATGTTCCTTTCGATACACATACACCCCCATTATTTAAAGAACTACGTCTAATAACTGTCCCAAACCTATATGAGTATACTCTACTAACACGATATAGATCAGCCCTCCGTTCTAACGAGCCTTTCCTTAGACATATTTCAAACCTAACGCCAAATATCCGGGTATGTGACGTTCGTGAGGGGGAGCATTGGAAAATACCAACAAATCGCACAAATTACGGTTTCCAAATGCTAAGGTATAATCTTCCATTTATTCTAAATAAACTTCAGAAGCATAATTTAACAAATATCGAGAGACTGAATCTTAGTACAATTAGAAATTTTTTCCTGTATTACAATTTCGCTTGTATTGTGAGGTCGTGTGTTCTGTATGTTTCAGTTATCCTTGAGGTAGTACGATTATTATTTTTAGTCCTGTCATGTACCTAAATATGCTATGTGCCTTATATATATGTGTGTATATGCGCGTGTGTATGATGCGTATGTATGTATGTGTGTGTATGTATGCGTGTATATATATGTGTATGTATATACATATGTATATGTGTATGTGTATATATATATATATATATATATATATATATATATATATGATTTTTTTGTTATCTTTAACAGCGTGTTTAACTTATGCTGTTGTTCTGGTTCTTTTTTTTATTTATTTATTTATTTATTTGCTTAATGTTAAAAGCTGAAAACTTAATGTTATTACTTCATGTGTAGTATGTCGCCGTGTGCCAATTGTAAGGCTGCAGAGGCCTTGTCAAGTCAAACTTTTGACTTTTTGCCCCTGCAGCCTACATCAGTTTCTGATGGGAAATAAAGGATTGATTGATTGATTGATTGATTGATTGATGTTTTCTGCGAGTATGGAAGCGTTCGAATGGCTGCCGACGTGTCGCACAAAAGCCTTTGCAAAGTTGTCATCGAGTGTCGGATGCGATGACGCGAATGAACAGATGGTGGGATCGCTGTTGATTCGCCGCTAGAGGTTGTTCCTTTTGAATTATGTACTTTAAATGCTAGCATTTCTATAAAGTTAGCTCTTAGGGCTTTCTCGTCCGCACTGGGGTGTAGCCCCGACAGCAGTGACATATCCCAAAGGCGTTCTAAATGCCTACTCTTCGTTTCAACCTAACTCCAGGCGCAGTCGACGCTACGAGGTAATTGAACTAATCAAGCAGCGTCAAGAGCGAAAGTCACTAAGCCTTTACTGTTTATGATTGGTACAGCGATAATAGAACACGTAGAGAAACATTACGAACACCATGATGGTTCGCTTTTGTCGATGTCCGATTGGTCCCATCAGCTTGCAGCGTCGGCTGCGTCTAAACGGAATATTAAAGCGCAAAACACATGTACGACGAAACCGTCCGATCCGACGTCCGGTCGGTAGTCTTGTGCGAATAGTTGATTTTGAGTTCGAAGCGAATAGTGGTTTTGGTCGAATATTTTTGATTTGAATATTGAATAGTTTTTTCCCGCCTTTCACTGCCATTGCATAATGCTTAGGCGAAAACCCAGCTAAACTTCTGGAGGTTGTTCCACTTGTTCATTTAAAAGCTAATTTTAATCTATCTATATTTATGAACTGTGACCTCAGGAGGTCTGATGTCTTGGGATGGCAAGTAAATGACGGATTTGACATAAAATGAATCCGATAGAAATGGCCAACTATACCCAATTGAGGGAATTTCCAAATCTTGCTCTATAAAATATTATTTCTTTAATCGCGAGTAAAAAAAGAATGAATCGCGCAGGATGAACGCAGGTTGTAGGGGCACCTCCGCCTACTATATTATGCTCTTGCATAAAAGTCGCTTTAATTTTGAAAATCTTACTACAATGCAGATATGCACATTCACAAAGCTTCCATTTATTTTCATATACAGCCGGCACGCGTGCACCATCCCGCATTGAATGTATGCTTTTCTTCCAAGCACGCCCCATTGCGATATTCATACTTTTCCA